TTTTTTTTTTTTTTTTTTTTTTTTTTTTTTTTTTAGGGGGTTGACCCTTAATATTCAAACAATCTGGAAAAGTTTAAATACGTGTTCGAATCATATATATTAGTGAAGCATTAACAAATTAGTGAAGCATTAACAGCTAGAAGATTATTTATATTTGGTCAACCTATCATCTAAAACTTCTAGACGTGCAAAGTCAAACATGTTATAAACTACTTTTAATTTACTAAATTTAAATATGTTGGCAAATAGGTCAAACACACAATGACACAAACACAAGGAGACGGTCTTCTTTAAATAAGTGGGTAGCAGGCAGACGAATGTCTCCTAGACAAAAACAAAAGAGGCCTCTCTTCTCTTCTTCTTTCCAAAGGTTTCAACCTCATAGATAACCTCCACCGCCATGAGCCACCAGAACCACCAGCCGCCAAGCTATGCCACAGACCCAAACACCATGTTCGTTCAAGCAGACCCCTCCAATTTCCGCAACATCGTCCAAAAACTCACGGGAGCGCCACCACCTGACCTCTGCACTTCCGCTGCACAGCAGAAGCTTCCTTACACTCCGAAGAAACAAGCCTTCAAGCTCCACGAGCGTCGTCAGTCATCCAAGAAAATGGAGCTGAAGATCAACAACAACAACGACTCATTCAGCCATTTCCACAGAGGATTCCTCGTCTCTCCAGTCTCTCACCTCGACCCATTCTGGGCGCGTGTGAGCCCACATTCAGTACGTGAGGAACACCACGCGCCTCCGGACAATGAGGAGCAAAGAGCCATCGCAGAAAAAGGGTTCTACTTCCTTCCAAGTCCGAGAAGCAGCGCCGAGCCAGCACCTGAGCTTTTGCCTTTGTTTCCTCTTTCTTCTCCCAACGGCACTAATCACCGCACTGAGGATGATTATCGCGACTACTAATCAGAGTTTGTAATCCTCATTTTCAGTCTTACGAGCCTACTAAATCGTATGTTGGGTAGCACGTGATATCGCTGTTGCTTTTTACTATTTTTGTTAGGGCTAATCTATCTTTTTATTAACCTCTCTAGACTTTTTTTCTATCATTACCCTTCATTATTAACTTGTTCAAGGGTCAACTATCCCACCGCGTGTATTCCACTTCCGTTAGAAAATATCATTCTTATTATATAACTTTTTCATACGCGGCAAAACACTATGTCAAGGAAGACATCATACAAAGCAGATGCTTATTAAAGAATTAAGTGGGAGGTCTAAAAACACAAGCTGCATAGTTTGGAAAATTAACTACAGCAAAATATTAATTACATATTACCTTATTTAATGCCATCTACTAGTGTCAAACAATTTATTTCACTTGAAAACAAGTTGATGAATGATGTAAGAGAAGAACGTGAATGAATAGATAACCTACATGTTGACTTTTTTTGGTTAGGGAAGAAAGTAAATAAGGTCAGTTCTTGTGGCGATAACAGTGTGCTCCGTTCAATTGAATTTGTGTGTGTCATAAAGCTGCCTGCCAGCCGTTGGATTTAAAGACAAAGCTGTGACGCAGAATGAAGCGGCGTCTATTTCCCTCTGCAGATCCAACGGTTAGGATTAACTATACAGATGAAAAAAGTGGTGGTATTAATAATAGATGTTACTTGTAACAGAGGGTGTCTCTGCGTCTCTCTTTAAAGTCATCTGTCAGTCTATCTTCGAACTCTGTCCCTCAGGTGTAATCCAAATTTTCAAATCTCTTTCTCAAATTCTAGCCTTCCATTTTCTCAACCTAAAAGTATCTGATTTCAGTGCCATCCCAAGCCCCTTTTGAAAGCATCAACAGATATGTGATTTATTGGACTTGCAATAAAAATATAATGGGCTTAATATAATCAGCCCATCAGCTTACTTAGGATTATTTATATTTCTTTTCTTTTTTCTTTGACATCAGAATCATCTGTACTGTATTTCACACAATCACATTTCCTCTCTCAAAGGAAAACATAACTCACATCATTGGTCCAAGTCTTAGTTGGTACTTGGTACTACATACTATAGATACTTAACTAGTAGGTGTACCATTAGAATTTTCCAGTAGAATTCTTTTTGTAAGAAAGCATAAAATTTAGTAGACATCAACACTGTAAATGGATAAATACCATATCATCTGATTTTATATAGAATATTTTATTACTTTCACCCAAGAAAGCCTACTATGATTTTTGTTGGGATTTAGGTCTAAACTCCGAAAGATTGGAGGTTAACATATTTTAGACTTCCAAGAAGCAACTAGCTTGCACGTGACCAACATGTGTTTCTAACTTAACCCATCGAAAGCTACTTAAATCACAGCTATACCCTACGGTGGCTCCACCGTAACCAGCCAAAGCCTTGCCGTTGCCGATCACAATCAGCTTTCCTGGCCTCACTGCCACGTACGCCACATTGTACACATCAGCAGGGATCTGCCCTACTTTATGCCACGTGTCATCTCTCAGCACCATTATATCTCCTCGCCAGCACGCGTACAGATCTCCTCCGTTTTCGCCGGTGGTGGCGTATATCGGAGTGCTAACAGTTTCCCCGCCGTCGAGAAATTCCTCTTTCAATGGACCCCATAGCCACGTGGACATGTCAAATGATTCAGCAGATTTACTGAACTGCCCTTGTTCCTCCGTGGCGTATCCACCTATGACGTGGAATTTGCCAGCGTGGAATATGGCCTTGCACTCGTCTCGTTCCCGCGACATGTCCGGTAAAATAGTCCAATTGTCTTCTCCCAAATCATACACCATCGCTGACGTCAGCGCTTGCTTCTCTTCGTCGTGTCCACCCGCAACCAACACCGTCCGATGTGAATCCGAAGCGCATCCGAAGAATGATCTCTTGACACCTGGCATGGTTGCTCCCTCGCGCCATTTGGAGTTGAGGAAACTGAAGACGAAGACCGAATCAGAGGCCTGCCACGTAACCGGGTCAAGCCCACCCAAGACAATGAGATCCGACCCGATAGAAACAAGTTTACAGAACAGAGGCAGTCCGTTGGATTGACCCGGAATCGGAGGAAGCTCTGTCCAGAGACCCGACCCGGATTCGAGAACAGCGACCCGGTATTCCTGCGACGCGGAATTCTTTCCGGATCCGGGTTCTCTGTCCGGGTCGACACGAGCCTGCGACATGATAAGAAGCTCTTGGCTATGTCCTGAAGCTTTTCGTTGCTGGAGAAACTGAGAGAGAGAGACTTCACGGTTCCAGCCTCTGCAAACGGAGGCCATAACAGGGAACTGTTTGTAGGAGGAGCGCAGGAGACACTCGCGAGCTACGTCTTCTGGAAGATTAGGGATGAGTTCCATCACCAAAGTATTAATATCAAAGATCTTTTCGAAAAGAAAAAAAAGAGAGTAGAAGATTAAAAGAGTGAGAGATGTAACAGTTTCAGTGAGAGAAAAAAAGGTGAGTGGATAGAGAGAAGATGATGAAGGTGGAAGAGGAGAGTGTGTCGCGCTTTATAGAGATATTTGATGATAAGCGTTTCTAGAAACTCTCAACTCGTTGATTCATTCATATCCTTCCTTATGGGCTTTTCGCTAAATAAATTATTCGTCATTTTTGGTTTTGTCTGTTCCCTTCAGACAAAAATAATAGGAATTATTTGTAAACTTTATTCTATATTTCTATTCTTTGAATGAAATGAAAGATAACGGCTTCTGATGAGTATGGCTGCGACTCGTGAGCGTAAAGGTAGAGACTTTGTATCAATTGGGACAAGTTGAAGGATGTGATATTTCAACTTTATTTTTATTTTGGTGGTATTCTATTATCAAATTCAGTAATCCAGCCATAAAAACGAAAACATATCCAGAAACGAGAGATGGATACACCTTCGGACTAGTACTTCTTTTACATTGTTTTTTAAATTTTTTTTAACACATTTGTTTTTTTAAACACATTACATCGATACTGGACGTTGTTTTAAATTGTTTTCTCTGTTTTTTCCATTGTCTTCATAGTGTGTAACGTATAGTAAAAATAAAACTTTACACTTACATACTAACGACTGTACTTTCTGTATGTTGTACTTTTTATGGATCTAGATTTTAGATCACACCCTTTTTCTCATATTAAAATATTAATCGGATCACAGCCTTTTGCTTTGTTAAAGATCGATTTTTTATTTATAAACAACAAAACCAACGCAACACTAGAAAATGTTTCAATATACATGTGAATCATAGTCCAAGTACATAATAACGTTTTAAATTCAACTAATATATAGAAGAGGTATAAAAATAAACAGAACAACGTTAACAATGTTTGGGTCTTTCCTTCTAGATTATCTTTTCCTCCAGAAGCTTTTATATTGGCCTTTTTTTTTATCCGGCTTGTTGTCTGCATGTGTGTGTCACAACTTTGGTCGACCATAAAATAATGTGCTGCATATCTATTATTTAATCTGCTATAATACTAACCATTACACCGATTGAACAAAGATGAAACTAATTAAAGACATCCTTTTTATAATATGTGGTTACAATATATAATAGGCATTGGGCAGGTATATCTTCTCGTGTTTGATCCTTTTTCTTTTCTAAAGGATATTTGTTTAAGTTGATTAACCCGTGTAACCAGAGCCGTGCCTCAATGTTACAAATTGAAACATTGGCTTAGGACATCAAATTTTCTAAAAGTAAGAAAGGTCATATTTTATAGTTTCATTTACTTAAACTCAATTACTGAAAATAGAAATGAAATATTTAAAAACTGGAATATTTATGATGATTAGAATTTTAAAAACAAGAGTGTAATATAAAATTATGGTTTAGCAACCAAAACGGTCTCTAATCATTTGTATTTGTTGATAAACAGCAAAGTAAAAAAATTTGGTTGTTTCATATTTTTTTTTTTGATATTCTATACTTGTAAGCAACTGTATAAACTATTAATTGTTTTTCATCAATTTATTTATCTAATGTACTATTTTATAACTAAGTTGATGCATATTATTTTTAATCGCTAAGGGTTGTGATTCAAAAAAAAAAAAATCGCTTAGGACAGTTTGAAATGCTCGCACGGCACTGCGTGTAACATAACGAAGCGAAAGTTTTTCTCCCTGTAGCTGTACGCGTTCCATAAAACATTATATACAACTACCAGTCTACCATTGTGTTATTAAGAAATCTAAATCATTAATGGTTAGTACATACGTCAATAATTCAGTCTTTATCCTATATATACATTTCACATTTGTATGTACACAATCGCTCTAGCTGTACAAAGTTGTATAATACAATATTCGGGGTAGCAGCATGAACTCGTTCACTCCACCACATGTATAAATCTGCAGACATATTTAACGTATAAATCTGGTTAATTTCTTTAAAATCTGATGACTATGGCCACCCTATGTATATTTCTCATATATAATTGTTATTTTTTGGGTTATAACGGATTGAGGCATAGATAGTATCATACTGTTTAGTGAACGTAGAAATACCACACCGAGTTTGAAAGTTTATGTTCATGGTTGATCTATATTTCCGCATGGTTTTTTTTTCGAGTATTTTTGCTATAAGCTAAGTATCTGGCGTTCTTTGTCTATACAAGCATACATTTGTATTAAATTGCGTCTGTTGAGTCTAAGACTATACGTTATCCAAGCTATCTGTTTTATAGAAAACATCCAAGGTGTAATAGCTGAGATAATCGTTGTGAAAAGAATAGCGTTGCCGCATGACAAAAAACTAAATTTAACTCTGATTTGAAGGAAGCGAACGGCACGGTGTCCGGAGTGACTAGAAAGATTGACAAGAACAAAACGACAGGGCGTCGGCATCCTTAAAGAGAAGAGTGTTGATTCGTTGGGTGGCTCTTTGATAAATCAAAACGATAAAACGACGTTCACAGATGGGAATAGACTAATAATACTGCATTGCTGGGAGTCTGGGACCTACATAGTGAATGTTCTTGTCGAAATTTCAAAACTCATACTTTTCCTTGGTCGCATTCAATAATTCATATTGTATTTTTCGTCACACGAAAATTCGCGGAGCCGTTGATTAGAAGACAAAATAATAGAAACATGAAATAATTTGCCAAATCGTTTACATTTTTATGGATGAATGAAAACGATAGAGGATGCATTAATCTGACTCAATATCAATGAGTAAGGACTTACGAATAAACGCATTATTTTGTAAATTGATCTAATAGAACTTGTGTAACATTGTATACAAGTACCTATTCAGTTATGAAGACATGATTTGCCTATTTTGCTGTTCCGGAAAAGAAAAAAAAAACTGGATATTTATGCTGTCGACATCAAAATAGAGAAGCTCATAGAGGATAAGCTCTCATTAATTTTCTTAGGTATTTTACGTCCTTTTTATCCATTATGAATCATGGTGGTTATCCTATAGCTGAAGCTGACGTGGATTTTATATCTTCACTGCCGGTAATTGGTATAAGTGCGCGTAACAATTATTTGTTTTCATCCTCATCAGCATGCATACATCAACTTTATTTTTTTAAGTAAGTTTCATCGAGGCCAAGTCTAGCTGACTTTCGTATATTGATTTGCTTGTTAACGTAGGTTAATTAACGCCATTAATTATAGTTTGTTTATGTTACTTTGTGGGGGGAAAGTTTGACAAAATATTCCGATATACTTCGTTTGTCGCTTCAGTATCTAAAGTGACATACAAGGGATTAGATCAAAGAGATTTAGCGAATATGAAATAACATATTTATTGAGCAAAAACAAACGTATTTACTGTATTATTAGCGTTGGACGAACGACAACACGACGGTCAAACGAACATACCCAAAGTCAAGCGAGAAAAGTGGACACAGAACGTGCCAAAGCTATTGTATTATGTTTTCTATGAGCATAACTCACTGTTACCACGTGTAGAAGTCATGACTGGCTATGGTTTTACTATTAGCAGTACGTAACATTTAAGAAAAAAACCCTGAAATTTCGGGATCGAAAGTCTAAAAGAGCTTGCGGGCTTGCGGCTAAAGAAGGGAGTGTTAAAGCAAATATTGAATATTGACGTGTGTTTTGATTGAGAGAGAGAATGTTAGTCATGAATTTTGTCCTAAAATTGTGTGTTCTAGAACTTTGAGCACAAAATAATTAATAGCAAGACACAGGGAAAGATTTAGATAGAGGCATCTACGTTCTTGTATCTGAGATTGATTTGGGCCTGCTCGGTTCGACAATATTATTATTTGGGTAAATAAAATTTGAATGGACTGCAGCTCTGAGTCCTATGAATTGATGGGCCTATAGAAAAGTTGCTTGATCCGGTCCAATTAGCTGTAGATCCATTTGTTGAATATGGGTTGGTTACCGGGTTGATAGACAGACACTCTCAACCGATAAATTAATTTATGCGAACCGGAGGAGACGAGTCTAAACCGGGAAACAAGTACCGACATGGTTAGGAGGATAATGAAGAAGATTGAAGACAGACCCTAATTTATTTTGGTTTAGTTGTAGTTGTCTTCTTCGCAACGCACGCAGTAGGGTTGAAGAAGCGGAGGATAGTGCGGCACCTCTCTTCTGCTTCCTTCTTCCTCGCGAGCTCTCTCAAAGTTGCGCAGGATAATGGGGGCTCCGCTTCCTCCTAAAGAGGCCAACCTCTTCAAGCTCATCGTCGTATGTTCCTATTTTCTCTCTCTCTGTTTTTCTTCCCTCCTCTGTCATGTTAAACCCTAATTAATTTAAGTTAACAGTAAGTGTGTCTGGTCAATAGAAATTCACTGACATGAGCAGTAAAGTCTTGTTGGAGTTTTGGTGCCTAATGTGTTGTTAAATTTGATGTATCAACAGTTGTTTTGTTTCAATTAAGTTGACTTATAGGCTATTGCGAGACTCTAATGACCCTGATTGCGTCTTGGCTTGACTTGGATCTTTCACTGTCTCAGATGGGAACCTTCTATTGTTAAGCTCATGTATATAATTATATATATAGTTTCTACTTTCACATGCTTTCTCTAGGTTTTATGTATCATTTAGTGTTTCTAATATTATACCCTTTTTCGTCTCACACTTTCATCTTAATGTCTACTTTTACATGGATTAGGACAATTCGTTTTTTTCTTCTTAATCTACTTTTCAGAAATATTTTAGAATATATATCAAGTAAGCTTATTCTGGGTGATATTATGTTGCAGAAATCTTATGAGACTAAGCAGTACAAGAAAGGACTCAAGGCAGCTGATGCCATTTTAAAAAAGTTTCCTTCCCATGGAGGTGAGTTTTCCTTTTATCATCACTTAAAACATCTCCTTCTACCTGTTTTCTGATTTTATAAAAATTCTCATTGCCGTCTCACTTTGCAACTATATGGAGTTCACTACATCGACTGAGATTTAAAATAATGTGTCTGGTCTCCTAGGCGCTTGAGTGTCTTGATCATGGTCTTAGAATCAATCAACATTAACATTCTTCTTCTTGATGAAGCAAATAGCAAGTAAACTCATTTCTTAGTATAAGGCTGTAGTGTATGATCATGTACCCAAGTTAAAGAGATGCTTACTATTGTTTATTTTTGTTCGTTGAGATTGCTTCTGCTGAAGAGTTCTTTCATCTCTTCATTATTTGCCATTTCTTCCATCTCTGATTTATTTCTTTTTAAGACATGTTTCTTTCCTTATTTTTGTTTTTCAGAGACCTTATCGATGAAAGGAC